CATGATTTTGGTATATTTTGGTATTTACATCATTGTCATCGGACACTTTTTCCAATAATCACTCAGTATCAGCGTATACAACAAATGGAACAGTCAGTTGATTTTTGAAATTTTGAAATTTCAAATATTTTTCATCACGATGAGGAAAAATCATTCGACACTTATTGATCGATACACAATCTTCCCTATGATTAGTGTAGGCCTCTTTTTTGAAAAAATGACACAAACACCTGTCACATATGAGTGTTTTACGTTTAACTTTTGAAATTTGTGTACCAACTAAACGAGACAAATTCGAGATCCATGTATAGTGATGAATTCTTTCCTGTTCACCATCGAGGATGTCGTCTTTTTCAATCATGAGAAGGTGAATTGTTCTTTCTTCTTCTTGCCGTGTGGCTGGAAGATTTTTGCTCAAATAAAGGGGCACAATCCATTTTTTCTCTGATTCTTCGTTACTGTCGATTCCATATACATTAATCGACAATTCGTTCATTTTCTCGAACTTGGGAATGGTCTTCTAATGCCATGGGGTAATTGAAGTTACCAAAGCTTTTCATGACAGTGCTGAAAGAGGGATATGAGTTTGTTCGTTGCTTATTTCGAACGTTACAGCGGGCGGCCATAATGGACCATAAGAAGCAGTAGGCATCGTCTTTATTTTGAACTTTCACGACAGCATGTTTCTTTTTAATCCATTCAGGTAGTTCAACGAAGCTGGATCCTCCGCGCAATGGATTATATTTATTTATGTTCACTTCTAAATTAATGACGTCAACTAATCTCCAGCCTGAGTCTTTTTCCTGGAACTCATCCGCTTTCACAAGAAGTTTTTCTCTTATGTGTTCATCAAACCACTGCCTAATATCAGTTGAATCGAGAATTATTTCATTTTTTGTATTGAAATATTTTTCTTCTTCAATGAGATGTTCATCTCTATTAATTTCATATTTACACGTTACCACTACATTCACTTTCAAACTTCCTTCTTTTTTCAATGTATTTTTCAAACGTACACAGAGCATTCGTATAGCATCATCTAAAAATTTGAGTATGTCTGGATTTTTCACGTTAATAATCACTCCTGTTCTCATACGACCCTCAAAAACACTTTGTAAGTCCTCCCATCGGACTCTATCAGTTAAAATACCCTTTAAGTCTCCTCCTAGCACTTCCAAGGTTCTGAATCTTGCGTAGAACGCTTTCAGTCGTCCGAACATGTGAGTTAAACGTCTTTTCTCACTATGACTTTTTCTCTCTAAATTCTTATCCTCTTGGAATTTAAAAAAAATTCTAAGAGAATTGGAATTGTCTTAGAATTAAAAAAAAATTCTAAGAGGATTGGAATTTAGAGAGAAAACATCTCGCGCCGCCCAGCCGGCATTCGAACCCGGGTCTCCCAGTTAAACGCCGTGTAATCTTCCGCCTAAACTACAGGAAACTACGGAAATTTACTATCCAAATTCGCCTCACACACCGCCTAACCTCTTTTAGCCATTAAATAATTCTGAGTGAATTGGAATTTAGAGAGAAAAAACAATTTATTCTTTATTATATTTTTAAAAATATATGTGTGTGTGCGTGTGTGTGTATTGTGACCGTTTTCTAGATTCTATTAGACTAATTCCTGAAAAGAGAATTAGGGCGAGTCAAGAAAAGGGACAAATAAGGGATAATTTGAGAATAATTACCTATTTTTTCTCTAAATACTATTCTGATCGTCAAAAGACGTAAATAAGGCCTTTAATGAGATCTAGAGAGTGGGGGAGGCCAGGCAACTTTTATACACGTAAAAAGGGAGTGACTCTAATGCAGGAAAAAGGGGAGAAGCTAGTCGTGTCGAGGGAATGCAACTAAATATAAAGATAATAACTGAAGAGGAAGAAACTAAATAGTGTAGGCTCACCGTTGGGGGATATGAAAACGAATACTTCTTGAGGCGAGGGGAAAATGAGGGGGACAACTCGTACTCACGACTTCCAGTTAAGGTCTAATCCAGGTCCTTCAGCGACTCCTGCGATTGAGCCTTCGTTCCTCCTTCCAGACTCCAGGGGCACAGTACTTAGAGCCGGGATGAGCTCGGGCACCAAAAATCCTCTTTACTCGAACACAAAATCCAATGTACAGAACTTCGGGGTATTTGCACTGTTTCTTCAACTCTTGGGGCGCACGTGGCAATGTCCAGGACAGCGGTTACACGAGTGACGGTCTTTCCTTTTCCTCCGTGATTCGTAGGGGTTCGTCAGGTGTCGAAGTCCTTCGGGTTTTAATTCGGGAGCAATCGGGACCAATCAGCACGGGTGAGTGGTGACGATGACCACAATCCAAGGATGTCTTACAAGGGATTATTGCAGGTGTTGAATATTCGGGGGTCCAGTATGGGGAATTTCCAGGAGGCGATGGCTTCTCCAATTGATCTCGTGGGGCCGGAACTGATGTCTTCCTTCGGCTGATGTCCAGGGGCGGGGGTAGAGGGGCGATGAGGGGAAAAGTCTGGGGAAGGGGTATCCAACGGTGGCGGGATTTACCTTTTAGGGGGCAGTGTGTAGTGGGAAAAAATATGTAGAAAAATAATAAAAAAGAAATGAATATGCCGCGTCACAGTATGTGTATGTGTGTGTATGGTTTTTTTTCTTTCCGTGGTCCGCTGAAGAAAATGTTCCTAGCCGCACGATAGTGGACAGTAAGATGGTGGTTACTCTCTCAACCTGTGTGGGACCCCCACCCACTAAAAACTGCGACTCACCACGGGAATTCGTTGAACCTAGTCTTCCGCGGCACTACCGTTAAGTATTATTTCGCGGAGGAGGTCTCAGCTATTTGCTCTTCCTCCTTATTTTAGCCTAATGTACGTCCCCTTGCCCTATTAAGGTGTCTGTGGGAAGGGAGTTCCAATAGGTTCTCCGTCTATTCCGCAGCTTTGCGTTCGCGTTCCTCTCTTCTGAGCTTCTTCATGACTCCTGTCGCGAAGTTGCTCGTTGCGTTCCAGGCTGCCACCAGATTCTCAGGCCGACCTCTCCATCTAGGGCAGACATACAAATATTCCGCATCTCACTGAAGCGGGGACATATGAAGAATACATGCTCTGCGTTGTCGATTACTCTCGTACAAGCGGGGCACTCCGGAGAATCTTCATGTTCAAATTTATGAAGATACTCCCAAAAGCACTCGTGTTCTGAGAGCATTTGTGTTAAGTAATAATTTACCTCACCATGTTTGCGACTTGTCCACACATCCACCTTTGGGATCAGCAGATAACTCCCCCTGGTAGAGGTGTCCCACTTCACCTGCCATCGGCACATGCTGTTTCGTCTCTCTTCTATCTTGAGTTCTTCGTTGCTCAGTATTTCCGATTTCCTCTGTCGATATAGACTTCCGTTCTTCGGCCAGTTCTTCTATGGGGAGCTTTCCCGCAATGACGCACACTGCCCCATCGGACACCATACGGTATGCGCTCACGACTCGCAGAGCACTCAGTCTGTAGACTGATGCAACCTTCCACCGTGATTCCTGCAATTGTAGTACATCACCCCAAATTGCAATGCCGCAGGTAAGCACCGATGTGACCAGCAATGACAATAATGCTCGTCTTCTCTGTTTTTGGCCTCGTATATTGGGCATGAGGCGCGATATGGTGGCTGTGATAACAGAAGCCTTAGCACGCACCTGCTCTGCTTTCTGCTTAAAGCTAAGTCGGGCGTCGATCATCACCCCCAGGTATCGAATGTAAGGCTGAGGATTTCTTGGTCTCCGACTTGCAGCGTTTTAGTCTCGATCTGCTTCCTACTTGTGATCAACACGGCCCCTGTTTTATGCTTCTCCAGCTATAGGCCTACGGTGGCCATCCAGCGGCGGATCGCCTCGAAGGTCGTGTTGAAGATAAATGTTGTCGTTCTCCTCCAGGTATCGGCCCACGATGTCTACAGCCACATCATCTGCAGAAGCCACCAGTTTAGTTTTCCGCAGCAATTCCAGCTTCAGCAGCCTGTCATACATGATGTTCCATAACAAGGGACTCAATACTGAGCCCTGAGGCACCCCTCCAGTGACTCTGTACTCTTCGGCCCCGCACTCCGTGTCGTATTTGAGAACCCTATCAGTGAAGTAGTTTTCGACCATGTTCCGCAGGTATTCAGGTACGTTGAACTCTACCAGAGCCTCCATGATACAGTCCCACATGGCTGAGTTGAAGGCGTTCTTGATGTCCAATGTCGCTACTAGGCAGTACTTCTTGGTGCCGCCGAGCCATCTCATCCCTGAAATCGCTTTCTTGGCGGTATTCACAACAAGGTTGATGGCATCAAGAGTGTATAGGCCTCTCCGAAACCCGCATTGGTTTTTGTTCAAGAGCGGTTCAACAGCTGCTTCTATTCTCGTATGGACGATGCGCTCGAGGATCTTGCCAGCTGTATCGAGCATGCAGAGGGGACGGTATGATGAGAGGTCGTCCGGTGGTTTTTTCCGTTTCGGGAGTAGTACTAGTCTCTGCTGCTTCCACATGGCAGGGAAGGTGCCCTCACTTAGACACTTATTATATACGTCCAAGAACAGCTTGAGCATCGCGTGAATAGTTGATTTCAGTGCGATATTGGGGACTCCATCCAGACCAGGGGCCTTGGTGTTACCCACTCTATTGCAGAATTCCATGAACTCTTCTTGGGTGATTGGTGGAACCATCATCTTTCTCCTTGCTCGCCAGTACGATGAAACTCTGGTTGTTGTGGGAACAACACTGCGATGATTTTCTTCATTAGTACCGGGACGTTGGTGACGGCATCGGTTGACGTTTGAGGCGCGTCATCACCATCATATATGGTCTACTCCATGGATCGACTTCCATCTCAGCAAGAAGCTGACTCCAAGCATGCTTTCTACTGTACTTAATGATTTTGCTTAGTATCCGGCGTGCCTTCTTATACCGCATCTCCAGCTCTTCAAAGTTCGTCTTCTTACGGCCACGCTCGGACAATTTTCTGGCTGCCTTACTTTCTTTCCGTAAGATGGCGATCGTGTCACTCCATCAATACACTGGATCCTGGTTTGTGGTACGCTTCCTGGTCATGGTGGCATCGCTGGCTTTTTTCACTCTTTTCATGATTTTATGTTCCTTTTCAGTAGCACTATAGCCACTGATCGACCGGTCATCTAACGCTGGTGAATGTGAGCTAGGATCAAGAGTGCTCACTTTTCAGCCAATGCAGTAGGTCTTATTAGGTGTTAAGGCTGTTCTCCGGCCAGTACACGTCTGCCAAAGTATCGCACGGTGGTCGCTTGCAGTTTCAATATCAGATACTCGCTATGAGCAGTTCCTTTTTGCAAGAGTGCTGTTCACAAAGGTGAGGTCCACGATTCAACTTGCCTCTCCTCTCATGAAGGTCGGTTCGTCGCCGCTGTTCAGCAAAACCACGTCCAATGCTGCCATAACTTCCAGTACAGCTTATCCTCTGAGGTTCGTCTCCTTGCTTCCCCAGTCGACTGCTCAAGCATTGAAATCCCCGGCTATTGCCACGGAAAAATGCTGCTTCACATTCCCAGCCAGTCTATCTAGAAAATCTGTGAACTCATTAATCACGAGGTTCGGTGGAGTGTAGCAGCTGTAGAAATAGATTCCATCAGCCTTAGCCCTCACGAAACCATACTCTATGTTACTTGTGGCGCTCTGGAAAGGTCGGTTCCCACAAGCCCAGATGACAGCCTTCTTGATGATATCAGTAACCCAGGGTTGGACGCCAATATGTCTTGTGACGTATTTTTCAACGAAACACGCAGGAAATCGTGTGGATTATCATCCACTAACTTTCAGCAACGCTTTTGGAATCTTTCAACCCGAAGTAAGGACAAAGGTGACCACCGGGAGGAACCAAAAATACCAAAAAGGGCGCCAGTCCTTTTACCCGCAAAGATTACGGTCACGATGTTGAAGCGCGTTCCACGACCAGCTCAGAAAAACCGTGGAGGCATTTGGGAACAGGCGAAACAATTAATGCATTTCAACACCATGACTTATTCGGAAATAAAATGATATACATTTTTCTGAAAATAATAAAAGAATAGAAAATTCGGCAAAATGCCAGTGAAATAATATTTGCGATTTTTACACGTGCGGGAGAGTACTCCCGCGAGCAAAGGCTCGACACAATCCGAAATTTAATAATTCTCTCAATTTCCGAAATGTTAATTTTCAGAAGATAAAAACTGAATTTTAGGAAATTATAAAATTAGAAATTTCAATTTATTACGTGAGAGAAACTCTACACGCAAGATGACTCGATACAGCAAAATATTATTCAATCAAATAACTCAACAAGTTAAGCATCAATAATAAATCAATAATCACACTCAAAAATTAGTAATTCAAATCACGGATCAAAATCATCAACCAAAGGCCAATAAAATAATAATCATTATTCGAGGGCGTAGAAGAAGCTAACGGCACGCGAGAATCACCCGAAGCGCGACGATACGAAGGCCACACGAATACAAAAGCATGAAATTTCCAAGATCCAAAACCCATAAACAGCAATGGAAAAAATGAATAATAGAAAAACATGAATGTTCAATAAAAACAATAGGAAATAGGCCAAAGGCCACTGAGTGCCGCGTCCCGAAGGCTATGGCTCGAATTCCAATAACTCAAACGGTGCCAAATTGGCGACCGGTGAATAAATTCAGTAGAACGGGCGTGCACTCACAGAACAACTTTTCGCTCACCGTAAGTTACGCGAGAATAACTCCAGATAAAACTTCTGGAACCTCAAATACGGCAGCGACGTCGAATGATGGCCGAAAAATCCAAGCACAACATCTTTTCGGTTTTCCAACGAATTGTTTTACTCACACACACGCACACTCACGTACACTCGCTCCTCTCGCACGCTCGCATGGCTTTTCATGACTGACCTGCGCAACCGACTTAACTGACCAGTGGCCTCTCACCTCTGACACCTGAGGCGCCAGTTGATGGATAGGTGTACAGTGAACGCCCCCATTTAAATTGGGGCACGTTTGGACCCTTGACGATCGACACCTGCCACCTTGCGATCCTTTAATCGGCCTCATTTGCATTTCGGTCATCGGAGAGTGTGCTTTAACTTTCTCCGATCCGCTCTATTGTTTGTACGGATTTCCGCATATAACTGCTCTGGGCGCATTGACGTGAATCTGTCAAACGAAGAATTGGAGTGTGAACAGCACTTCCGTCAGACTCACTCAAGGGATAACTCAGGTCGATATGTCGTTCGTTTGCCCTTCTCAGCTCCAGTTTCGTCATAAGAGAATTCCTATCGCCCAGCGCTAGCTTGTCTCCATCGGATGCTCGGGAGAATCTCAAAAGATCCGCGCTTTCTCCAGCTCTACTCTGATTTTCTCAAGGAATATGAAGACCTCGACCATATAAGATTAGTAACTTGCTCAACTCATCGCTCTTCGTCTTCGGTTCAGGCGGAAACCGCTTGTCGTTCTGACGAGATGACCTTAGTACATGAAGCGTAAGCTTCAGGAGGGTTGAGGGTCTCTGAAGGGCTTCAGGTAGGGCCGTCTGACGCTCATAGGAGTTACTATTTACCTCGTCATGGTGTAGTCAGAGAGAGCAGTGAAACGACGAAACTGAGAGTAGTGTTCAACGGATCAGCGAAGACTAGCTCAGGGAACTCACTCAACGACATTTTCCACACAGGAGCCAAGTTGCAGAGAGATATCTCGGACGTGCTGCTCTGGTCAAGACAGCACAGAGTCATCTTCATGACGGACATCACCAAGATCAGAGGTTTCGCCAGATCAGAGTTCACGAGGATGACTGGCCCCTGCAGCAGATTTTATGGACCAACTCAAGTGGGAAAATAGTCAGGTATCAACTGACAACAGTCACATGCGGCACAAGATCAGCTCCGTTTCTCGCAAATCGTGTTCTTCTTCAGCTGGCTGAGGATGAAGGACATCGGTTCCCTTTGGCCGTCTCGCCCATCGTGAAAAGAAGATACGTTGACGACATCTGTGGAGGTGCAGACACGCATGACCAACTCGTTAGGACCGCTCAAGAAGTTCGTGATCTCTGTGCTGCTGGAGGAATGCCTCCGGCAAAATGGCATAGTAATAGTCCAGCCTTACTCCAGTGGCTCGCTCCTGATAGTGCCTCCAATGACCAGCGAGTTTATGAGGATTCGGAGACCCGGATTCTTGGTTTGTCGTGGCAGCCCAGCTCGGATAACTTCGTCTTCTCAAGTCGAAACAGCGATGAATCGAAGGTCTCTAAGAGGAACAACCTCTCAGAGATCGCTCAGATATATGACCCGCTCAGATTTCTATTTCCTGTCGTGATCAGAGGAAAATTGCTCATGCAGGAGACTTGGATTCGTAAGCTCGGTTGGGATGAGGAAGTCCCAGAACAAGTAGCTCAGCGTTGGAAAAGTTTTCGGAATGATCTCACTCTGCTCTCGAAGTTATCTGTTCCAAGATGGTTAGGCCTGCTCCAGAATTCGTCGATTGAAATCCATGGATTCTCAGACGCTTCTGTTCTCGCGATGACAGCCGTAGTCTATCTCAAAGTCTTTAATGGAGATGAATAGCCTCGGATTTCTTTGGTCTGCGCGAAAACGAAAGTAGCTCCTCTCAAACGGCTGACAATGCCAAGGCTAGAGCTCACAGCTGCGGTTATGCTTGCCAATCTCGTTAAGTATGTTAAAGAAGAGCTCAATCTCTCGAACGCTCCGACGTTCTTGTGGACCGACTCATCAGTTGCGCTTACGTGAATCAACTCACACTCGTCCAGATCGAAAGAATTCGTAAGAAATCGTGTCCAGTTCATACAAGAGACCTCGCGAGCCCAATGGAAACTTGTTCCTGGCAATGAAAACCCAGCTGATTGCGCATCTCGTGGGCTAACCACAGCTCAACTCTCTTCACATGAATTCTGGTGGCATGCACCACCATGGCTCATGAAAAGCTCAACGTCTCGGCCATCTCTAGAGCTCGCTTCAGTGGCATCAACAGATCTTAAAGAGAAACCTGGTGTCATTCTCAACGTGAAGATCTAGCGCCCAGAGATCTGGAATTTAGTTAATCGCTCTTCTTCACTCAACAAATTGCTTCGAATTACGGCCATCTGCCAACGTGTCATTGCTCATCTCAGAAGAATTCCTGGATCATCGTTAGCAACAGCTCTGACCCCTGGTGACATCGAGCAGGCCCGACTGCTCTGGGTCAAGCTTACTCAGTCTGCGCGCTTCTTAACTGAGCTTACGACCTTGTCCAGAGGGCAACGTCTTATTTCATCTTAGTAACTCACTCGATTCACAGCGTTCCTGGATCACCGGGAAGTTCTACGTATTGGAGGGCGTTTGAAATTTGCTCAGCTCGACTGCGAAAATAAGCATCTGATCATCATACCTCGGGATTCTCAGTTCGCTCAGCTCATCATTCGAGATACCCATCTCAGGACTCTGCATGGAGAAACGCAGCTCACTCTCGCTCAACTCAGAAGGTCTTACTGGATCCTCGGTGGAAGAGCCCCGGTAAGATCATTCATCCTGAAGTGCGTTCCATGCACCAGACAGCGAGGACTCAGAGCTCAATAGGTCATGGGCCAGCTCCTAGTTGCTCGTCACACTCCTGGCCGAGCGTTTCTCAACACTGGAGTTTACTACGCCGGACCAGTGTCGCTCCGCTCATGGAAAGGACCTGGTCATAAGTCGTACAAGGGTTGGATCGCAATTTTCGTCTGCATGACCACGTCCGCGGTCCATTTTGAGGTCGTCTCAGATTACGCAGCCGATGGGTTTATCGTTGCGTATCGTCGCTTTGTTGCCCGGCGTGGACTCTGCAAGAACTTGTTCTCAGATTGCGGAACGAACTTCTTGGGAGCCGACAAGGAATTGAAGAAGCTCTTCTCGATGGCGTCTAAGGAATCGGACAAACTAGCCCAGCTCTTGCTCAGCGATGGTACCAGATGGTCTTTCAACCCTCTAGGTGCACCACACTTTGGAGGCAAGTGGGAAGCAGCGGTAGTCGGTGAAGTTCCATCTCAAACGAACGATCGGCGATGCTCTATTCACCTACGAGGAACTCACTACTTTACTCGCGCAAATCGAAGCTGTGCTCAATTCAGAACCACTGGAACAACTATCAGAAGCTCCTGATGACGTCAGTGCGCTCACACCAGGTCATTTTCTGATTGGTCAGGCATGGACCTCGGTTCCTGACCCTTCGCTGGAGCATTTAAACGTCGCTCGTCAGTCGCGTTGGGAACTCATCCAGCAGGTTCAGTACTTCTGGAAGCGGTGGTCTACTAGCTACCTTCAGCATCTGCAGTCCATCTCGAAGTGGCACCACCCATCTCACGACATCAAAATTGGTTCCATAGTCCTTCTTACCGATGAGAGATTCCCACCAACGACGTGGCCTCTCGCTCGAGTCATCGCTCTCCACCCTGGTAGAGATGGACTCGCCAGGATGGTCACCATCAAGACGTCCAGCTCTACGCTTCAGAGGCCCATCTCCAAACTGGCTCCACTGCCCATCTAGACCAACGATGCCTAAGACCTTCTCATCCTACGTTCGCTCATCTCAACAACTGGAGTCGTCTTCAACTTCATTCTCAACCAGACCTAGGCGAAGATTTACGACTTTCGTCTTCGAACCTGGCCGCTGAGTGGAAGCGGGTCTGCCGAAGTCTGCGGAATTTACGCCTCCAACGATCTTGGGTATACTCACCTTGACTATCGCAGATGAACTCCAGTGGTGAAGTCGCTCTTCGAGAAATTATTGTCCTGAGCACGATTAATCTCTTTTTTTGTTACAGACCTGCGCAAAGAGGTGTCGGCGCCTGCTGACGGCGGGGGAGAATGTTCGGTTTTCCACCGAATTGTTTTCATCAGACACATGCACACTCACGCACAATCACTCCTCTCGCATGCTTGTATGGCTTTTCATGACTGACCTGCGCAACAGACTTAACTGATCAGTGGCCTCTCACCTCTGACACCTGAGGCGCCACTTGATAGACAGGTGTTCAGTGAACGCCCCCATTTAAATTGGGACACGTTTGGACCCTCGATGATCGACACCTCCCACCTTGCGGTCCTTTAATCGGCCTCATTTACATTTCGGCCATCGGACAGTGTGCTTTAACTTTCTCCCCAACCGGTCTAAAAAAACACGAATTGACGTAAAAAGCTCCGAGAGCATAAAGAAAATAACTTAATTCCGCAGAGCGACTTGTGGTTGCTGAGCCCCAGCGAAGAGTGTCCGTTGGGGCAATCCAATGCCCCGAGGAACCTTGAATTTCTTTTCTTCTCATACCCCAATCCGCCGATGTTAGCGCAAAGAATCCGCGTTCCAATGAAATTCGAATGATGAGTTTCCAATTGGTAATTATTCACAATTTATTGGTCCCAGAAAACTGAGACTTGCGCCTCGCAGTCGGTGGAGTTGATCCGCGTTGAACGACGCAGGACCCAACATAATCCACTGCTCCCTCGATGCTATAGCATGAATTTTTTATGTGGTGGCCTTGCGTTACCCAGTCATCGGCGAAGTAGTGAGAGTCCACAAGTAGAGGCCTGAGTTGTCTGCTGGCGTGTGACTATCGTCTCCCGCGTGCTTGCGAGGGGGGGGGGCTATCGCGAAGAAAAAACGAAGGGATCACACGGCGTAATCACGTGATCGTTTCATCCCTTGTTCCCATATTTCCGCATATTTTTAACGGAGAAATACGGAACGTGGACTATCGAATTGTGCAATTAGACGAAGGTCCTCCAAAGAAGTCATAACCCCTTGGACATCAGGGAAACACTCCACTTAATACCATCAAATTCGAAATTCAACTATGGGTTAAGAAATTATTTTTTTTTAAATCACCATTATCTCCATACTCTTTCCATTAAACTATCAAGCCTTAGTTATTTATTAATTTATTACTAAGTTTAATTTATCAATTAATTTTAATACATAACTTCTTCATGCGGTACTCCGAACCAAAATTCCAAAATTCGATAGTCCACGTTCGGTATTTCTCCCTTCAAAATATGCGGAAATATGGGAACACAGGGTGAAGCGATCACGTGATCACGCGGTGTGATCCCTTCGTTTTTTCTTTGCGATAGGCTCCCAGGTGTGAGTCTCCACAGACTCGGTGTGTGCATCCTCGTTGGTGTACCAACTCGTCATCTGCTATAGCGCCGACTTGTAGCCTCTCCCCGATGTTCCGCTCCACTCCCCTCGCCTCGGAGCTCACGCGTAACCGCGGTGAGCGCAATAGCGCTAGATTTCACAGAATCAAGAGAAGAAAAGAGTAAACAACAGAAAGAAATATAGAAAAAATGTGGCCTTGAGTGATCCGACAGCTCGCTGGGGTTGAATTACTCATTTTCCCCGCAGTTAATCCGCGGTCAGTTCAGGCAAGGACAGTGCATGACAATTGGTCATGTCACATTCTATACGGCTCTGAGATAATGACCAAGTCAAGCTTCAGCTCCTGCACCGTCTGCATAAGCAAGTCGTGTGCGGTCTCACAATGGTTGAGGTTGAGCTGCAAGACTTTCATCGTCGTTTATTAGTGAGCTTCTGGAACGCCTCCTTGTATGCTGGGCATCTATTGCTACCAGCGACGTGAGCACAGTTCTTCGCGCTGCCTTTCTCGCAGCACAATGCGTATCGGGCATCCTTCTCACACGCAGCGGCCTTATGGTTACCTTCTCCGCACTTAATACAGAGACTCGACTGGTTCACTTCACTTTTGCACTGGGTGGCGAGATATTCATAATACCAGCACTTGAAACATTTGGTTGATCTCTCCACTACTCTGATTCTGCAATATACGCAACATCCTGATCTTACTGCGGTCGCCCAGAACGATCGTCACCGTCGACCACGGCAGTGTCACCAAGGCAGTGTGAGTCCCCCCATAGGCTTTGTGAAGATACTTGACGGTATCCAACGGGATTTCGCATGCTTTTCCCGCCGCTTCTTGCAGGGCTGCGAGAACTTCCTCCTTCGTCGTCGTTTCATCAAGATCACGGATTTCGAGGTCTTCTTGTGGCCCCTTACTGACAACCTCAGCTTCATCCCCAAGGAGTTCAGCGATGGTTTTTTGGAGTCCATGGCCTCCATCTTTATTCTCCTTGGTGNGCCAAGGCTAGAGCTCACAGCTGCGGTTATGCTTGCCAATCTCGTTAAGTATGTTAAAGAAGAGCTCAATCTCTCGAACGCTCCGACGTTCTTGTGGACCGACTCATCAGTTGCGCTTACGTGAATCAACTCACACTCGTCCAGATCGAAAGAATTCGTAAGAAATCGTGTCCAGTTCATACAAGAGACCTCGCGAGCCCAATGGAAACTTGTTCCTGGCAATGAAAACCCAGCTGATTGCGCATCTCGTGGGCTAACCACAGCTCAACTCTCTTCACATGAATTCTGGTGGCATGCACCACCATGGCTCATGAAAAGCTCAACGTCTCGGCCATCTCTAGAGCTCGCTTCAGTGGCATCAACAGATCTTAAAGAGAAACCTGGTGTCATTCTCAACGTGAAGATCTAGCGCCCAGAGATCTGGAATTTAGTTAATCGCTCT